AAAAAAAAGAAAAAAAAAAAAAAAAAAAAAAAAAAAAAAAAAAATGGGGGTTAATGTTGGGTCAGCAAAAGCAGTTGAGAAGCATGCATCGAACACAGAGAGTGATATATTGTTAATATTGAAATATTGTTTATTGAAAAGAAAAGGAAGTGCTTCAAATATTGATTTGATCAGCTTTAGACAGTAATTTGTTTTACGATTTCATGACAAAAGCTCCGATGTTTTCAAAATGAAAAAACTCATCTACCAAGACAATTATTTTTCTAATAAGTATTTTATAATGTGATAATTTTTTTTTATTTTACAGTATTAAATTCTAAACATTAAAAAAAGTTGGATGTATTAGATTCACAATACTCGAAGTTGACTTAATAGCCAGCAGCTTTTGCTTCAAACTACATGTGTAATAACATTCCTGAGGTCACTTTTAGACGCAATAGCTCATCAGGGAAGCTAGTCACAGATCTAATAATGCTTGTATCTTTAAACTCTATAAAGACGACTCGAGGACAAAAATTGAGGTGTGGATATCAAAACCAGCTCATCTAATGAACCGTGATGGTGTATCACATCGCAAAATTAGCTTTTTTGATTAGTAGTAAATCTGAAATGTTGCAGAATGTCTAAATGTTATGTATTCATTTTTTTTTTTTTTGCTTGAAACGTAAAAAAAATACTTTCCGTACCCACTGTATATATATATGGGGGTTAATGTTGGGTCAGCAAAAGCAGTTGAGAAGCATGCATCGAACACAGAGAGTGATATATTGTTAATATTGAAATATTGTTTATTGAAAAGAAAAGGAAGTGCTTCAAATATTGATTTGATCAGCTTTAGACAGTAATTTGTTTTACGATTTCATGACAAAAGCTCCGATGTTTTCAAAATGAAAAAACTCATCTACCAAGACAATTATTTTTCTAATAAGTATTTTATAATGTGATAATTTTTTTTTATTTTACAGTATTAAATTCTAAACATTAAAAAAAGTTGGATGTATTAGATTCACAATACTCGAAGTTGACTTAATAGCCAGCAGCTTTTGCTTCAAACTACATGTGTAATAACATTCCTGAGGTCACTTTTAGACGCAATAGCTCATCAGGGAAGCTAGTCACAGATCTAATAATGCTTGTATCTTTAAACTCTATAAAGACGACTCGAGGACAAAAATTGAGGTGTGGATATCAAAACCAGCTCATCTAATGAACCGTGATGGTGTATCACATCGCAAAATTAGCTTTTTTGATTAGTAGTAAATCTGAAATGTTGCAGAATGTCTAAATGTTATGTATTCATTTTTTTTTTTTTTGCTTGAAACGTAAAAAAAAAAAAAAGATCCTAAACTTTGTTTTAATACCCTAATTTTTATGTGCCTTTTTAGGTCTTCTGATGCTTTAAAATGTACATGATTTAAAATCATCTGTGGGTTGTTTCAGTCACACTAGGCACTACATATGTGACAAAAGCCCAGATGCTCACACTTGTTCTCGCAGCTGTAAAGATGGAAGTAGGCTGTTTGTTGTGGAGAAGGAATGCTTTGGTCGGCAGCAAACATGCAATTAACTCATTACTGCCAGAGACAATGCTGTCCACATTCAGCCAGCCTACTCAACACATGAGTGTTAGAATTCAACACCAGAAAACACAGGAAAGCCATAAACCGCTCATCAGAAAGCATGCACAACATTGCAATAACCAAAAGACATGCATTGTGTATTTCTGGTAAAAAATAAAAAAAAAAACTATATAAATACTTGGGGTGTTAAACATTAATAATAGCTTGCTTTTCTGCTTGATTGTACACATGTATACACTCCCTTTAGACTATAGTAGAGCAAGTTTATGCTTACAATATTGATGTTCTTCTAGCTGCCTTAGGCTAAAAATATTGTATTTTCTTCATAATTTTTAAGTGCAAGGTCCACCCACCACCTTCATTCTATAGTGATAAAAATGCACTTTCAATGTATAAGGAAACTATGCAATGATGAACAATGACCTTGTGGCCTCATTTTGAGTGGACAAAAGGCGTCCATTCATTTTTTCCCCATGAGCCCATGCTCTTGATGAGATCAGTACACACTGCTCATCTCAGCTGGAGTCTGACAACACTTCATTCAGTATACACAGAGGAACAGTGGAAACCAAAGCGACTGTCTCTCACAATGACAAAACCTAATTTTTATTCTGAATTATGGGTTTCCTCTCATGAGAAAGGTCATGAAACACTTAAGTTTCTCTCCATCAGTTAGGAGCGGTGTATTGATGTTTCCTCTATGTACTACTAAGTTACTAGACTATATAGCTTGCCTTGAAATAGTCTGTGGTGTCTGTATAACACCAAAACAGATCATGACAGATTTAGATGTAGATGAGACATGTATTACTGTGCTAAATGTAAAATTAATTCAGAGCTGTATATGTATTTTTTCCTTTAAAAAAAAAAGTTACTCAAAGAAATTAGTATTTTTAAACATTCAAATTCAAACACTATTGAAATTGCTATTGTCCAAAAGTTAAAATAATAATAAATTTAGTATTTTTTTTACAAATCTACATAAAATCCTATTCTTCATTCATAAAAAGGGGTGTTTATTTTCACCACTTGTTTTAAGTATAAAACCTAGCAAGGTGCAATTTTTCTATTAAAAACAGTTATCTATTATAAAAAAATAAATAAAAATACATTTAAAAAAAAAAAAAATTGTTTGTTCGTTCATTTATTTATTTAAAAACCTGGGTAAAAAACATTAAATATTAAAGAGTTTCTCTGAAAACAAGTATTAATATTTAATGTTTTTTCGTGAAAATTAGCCCACAAATTACTCACCCTCAAGTCATCCTAGGTGTATATGACTTTCTTCTTTCAGACGAATCCAGTCGGAGTTATATTAAAAATTGCCTTTGATCTTTCAAGCCGTTTAATGCCACTCAGCAGGTGTTGCATGAATCAGTCCTAAATAAAAAGCCCATCCATTTAAAAAAAAAAAAAAAAATTTAAAAATTAAAAAAAGTCTCACACGGCTCCGGGTGGCGAACAAAGGCTTCCTGTAGCGAATCGATGCGATAAGAAAAATATCCATATTCAAAACGTAAATCACTTTAATGTAGCTTGCGCCAACAGTTGTACACGGAAGCAGCTCCGGGCTGATGACGTACGAGTTCAGCGTTGCGCATGCGCCGGGGAGTCTAGTGAAAACCAGCGTTTGTTAACAGGAGCAAAGGAAGCAAAGTTTCCTTACTTTAGCAAAGGAAAACCAGTCTCCTCTTGGCTTTGACATTCTTCTTTACAAATCCTCGTTTTGTACTTCTATAATTAGTGACCGTTGTTTTGTTTTGATCTCTCCGCTGCACTTCCACGTGTGTCACTTCTGAGTGGCGCATGCGCAAAGCTGACCTCATACGCTGACATTTCATTTTTGGGTGAACTAACGGTTTAACCTATAATAAAAAATAAAAAAAAGTTTGTTCTTTTTTTTTTTTTTACTTTATCTATCCATCCATCCATCCATCCATAAATAAATAAATACAAATAAAAATCTAAAAAAAAAAAAAACATTAAATTAGATATTTTCTCTGAAAACAAGTATTAATATGTAATGCAGTTTTTATTTCAGTGGTTTTAAAAATGTAAAATTTTAATCCAACTTAAAGAGCTTTAAAATGTATATTTTCTCACAAATGTTGGTTACGGTCAAGTTACCCTTAAAAACTAAAGCCTGTATTGTCTTGATTAACAAAGCATCAATCGCAGAAACAACAGCGAGGCAATAGGAAGCTCTTAAGGATCGGCGCGTGCTGTGTTTGTGTGTGCACAAGTACTCCAGCACGTTTACACGTTTGTTAGGCATGCATGTTATGGCCCGTCTCGCACACTGCTCCACTTGGCATTATGACAGAATCCCTTCACGTTGCCACCCACTTATACACTCACTCACCCCAGGCCTTTAAATTCATCATGAAATGGCATCCGCGACCCATTTTACTGACGTAATGTGACATTTTGAAGTGAAACAAGATATTCCATGAGAAAAAATGGTTGATAAAAAGAAGTTTGTTCTTTTTTTTTTTTTTACTTTATCTATCCATCCATCCATCCATCCATAAATAAATAAATACAAATAAAAATCTAAAAAAAAAAAAAACATTAAATTAGATATTTTCTCTGAAAACAAGTATTAATATGTAATGCAGTTTTTATTTCAGTGGTTTTAAAAATGTAAAATTTTAATCCAACTTAAAGAGCTTTAAAATGTATATTTTCTCACAAATGTTGGTTACGGTCAAGTTACCCTTAAAAACTAAAGCCTGTATTGTCTTGATTAACAAAGCATCAATCGCAGAAACAACAGCGAGGCAATAGGAAGCTCTTAAGGATCGGCGCGTGCTGTGTTTGTGTGTGCACAAGTACTCCAGCACGTTTACACGTTTGTTAGGCATGCATGTTATGGCCCGTCTCTTCCCCAGTCATGCTTGACCGTAGAGTTGTACCCCACCGAGAGGCCTCACTGCTGGGCAGCAGGCAGTGGCATTAGCCCTGTTCAGCTCGACTCACCTCAACACTCGCTGCCCGGTGGGAAGCCCTACCACCTTCCAGCATCACGATTCTTCATCATGCACCAATGTGGCTTACTGTGGCAGCCGGAGAATAAGAATGAATGAGAAGTTCATGCATTAAAAAGCTCTGCTTCCCTCTTCTTCAACCAGCATTCCTACTTTGCCATCAGCGACTCCGCAAAGAGCACTCAGACCAGTGGCGACAGGCCCAACAAGCTACAGATCAGTGCTCGCCTGTCTGAATCACTCCATTACCTCAGAGGGTGAAGACTTTAATGAGTAAGAAATGAGAACAGGCTGTCCATAAATGGCACTGGTAATGAGGAAATTCTAAGAAACGCTAATCAGTGGGAGGCATGTCATAAAGAGTATTAAACACATACAGAATTTGTTTTTGTTTTGCTTAAGTGAATCGCAGTTTCTGACCTAGATTCATCAACATCGCAAAGGCAAATACCAAAACGATACTATGACAAGCTTTGTGACATTACAAATGCCCTTGAGCAAAGCCGGGGAGTTTCTCCAGATAAATTCGGCTCAGCATGCAGTGTTTGAAAACGTATAGAGTTTCAAAGGTTTCCACGAAACTGTGTCTGTTTCGAATACGAAGCGTTGCCTCATCAAGGTAGGAACACAGGCAACAGGAGTTTGTTTCATACATTTTTAGGGTTTATTTAAATATATTTAACACCCAATCACTATATTACAGTTCCCTTTATCCAAAGTTATCTCTAAAGTATAAAAAAGAAGGGCTAAAAAGTCTATTAATTGTGTGTCTAACACAATAGCTTCTATGTTGTTCTCACTGGCAAAAAAAAAAAACATTGGACTTAAAAAGGTGCATGCAGTAATTTTTCACTCATTAAAAAGGCAAAAAATGAACCGTATGAATATGTATTTATGTGTATAATATATATAATAAGTGTATTTGTATATTTTATTTGTTTGTTTATTTATTTATTTTTAATTGTATTGTATTTATTTTTAATTGCATTTATTTATTTTTAATTATATTTATTTGTTTGTTTTAATTGTTTATTTATTTTTAATTGTATTGTATTTATTTTTAATTGCATTTATTTATTTATTTTCTTTAATTGTATTCCTTCATTTATTTATTTTTAGACATTTATATCATTATTTGCCACAGAATGAAAGTTACACATATAGGTTTGGGACACCATGAGAATTTCATTATTGAGTGAACTATTCTTTCCCCATTTTATATTTCTGTGTGTAAAAATCTCACACAGATTTTCTTTATATGTGCAACAAATTTACTACTTACATCGGCTCAGGCGTAAATCCGTATAGTCGGCACGTTAATATGGCAGAGTTCACTTCAGCAGCCTCTCCCAGTACCAGAAAACTTGCAACTGTCTCAGGCACCAAGATGTGACTATGTGAAAATGAGTATGGCTTGTGCACACAGGGAAACAGCTGTGTTTCCTTTAAGGATTGGTTGTTTAGTACTGCTTTGATTAAAGTCCTTGAAATAGAACATACAGCCAAACGTTAGACATAATTGAACCCTAATTTGTCACTCACTTCATTGTTATAAGGACTCCACCATCCAATTAACTCAACATCCACTCTAATCAAGTAATTAAGTGATTCTGATGCAAATCTGAGCCTGTAATTGGTTTGGGAGGAGGAGTGATAAATTAGCAGATCAAACTTTATGCAACTCATCTCTTATCTCACAAGCTTACATCTGCAATTGATGGATGAATGAAATACCAGGAATGTAGCTGCTGTCCAAGACATAACAGACGCTGAATGACTCTGTTGATCTCATAAACCAATAAGTTGCATGACTTGCAAGATGATCATTTAGATGAGAAAACATGGTATGCTGGATTAGTTTCTGTTTAAGTTAATTAACACAAATCGGTTGGATCATCTGCATGCCGTGAAAAACATGATCACTCAGACTACAGACATGTTACAAATGTGCATACTGTGATAAGTATTAACACAATAGAAGTCAAAGAAAAGTACATTCAGCAATAGATTACTGAAATTTAAAACAAAAAAAATCAGCAATAATAACATTATCTGTGGTGGGTTCAGATCCCAGCAGCCCCGGCATGGCATGACAGTGCTAATATCGAACTAATGTTGTAACACACTCTAATTTAATCCTCAAAAAAATGTCAAATCCTTTTTTATTTATTTGTTTTTTACAATGTCTGAGCCACAGCTCCAAAAACCCAAAACCATACTATTTGTGCAATATTCCAAGCATTTTGATAGAAAATCATGAAGGTATTTAAATGTATAGTTTGCAGTTTACACAAAATGAAAATTCTGTCATTATTTCCTCACCCTCATGTCGCTTCAAACCTGTATAAACCTTTCCTCTGTATGACACACAGTGGGTATAAAAAGTCTGCACACCCCTGTAAAAAAACTGCAGCTTTTTTTAAATGCGAAAAGTAATTCTAAATAATTTTAGATATTTTTCTACCTTTACTGTGTGATTAAAACCAACAAAAAATTATTTAAGAAACAAATAGAGACTTTTAAAGACAAAAAGCCTAAAATGACCTGGTTTCATAAATGTGCATATTCTTTTATAATAAGACATTAACCAATCACATTCAAACTTTTACTGCTAATTCAATATAATGCTGTTTCTGTAATATATTCTTGCTTGCATTTCATTGCAGAAGCCATGGCCTGCAAAAAGCTTACAAAGCGTGTGTTGGGATCTTATTGGGAAGCGGTACAACTCAGGAAAATCATACAAAAGTGTTTCCAAAACATTAGCCATGGAATACTGTGAAGGCCATCATCAACAAGTGGAGACAGCAGGGCATCTGTCAAAAATTGATCTAAAAACAAGATGAAATGTATCAAGGAGGCTGCCAAGAGCTGCATGGATGTCTGGAACGTTCTGGTGCTGCATGTTTAAACAAATTTTAAAAAATTTAAAAAACTTTTGGACTATAATTTTAAAAAGTACATTTGGCACAAAAACAAGACTGCTCATCATCCAAACAACACCATATTCATGATGAAGCTTGGTGCTGCAAGCATCATGCAATAGGGCTGCTTCTCTTCAGCTGGGACTGGTGAGACTCAACTCAAAGATAGAAGGAATCATAAAAAGTGCCAAATACCAGAACATTTTGGCACAAAACCTGCAGTCCTCCAATAAAAACCTGAAGATAAAGAGGAATTTCATCTTTCAGCAGGATAATAACCTCAAACACAAATCCAAGTCTATAAAAGAAACAGCTTCAGAAGAAAAATAACCTTTTGTGATGGCCCAGTCAGAGCCCAAACCATCGAATTCAATTGACAATCTTGTGGAATAACTTGAAAAGGCTGCACACAGGAGATCCATCTGCAGTATGATCAATCTTGAGCTCTTTTGCCAGGAAGACTGGGGAAAATTTTGACAAATAAAGATGTGCTAAATTGACTCTTATTCAAAAAGACTGGCTGCTGTATTAAAAGCAAAAGATGTTTCAGCCAAGTATTAGTTGAGGGGTGCAGGCACACTTCTGCAATCAGGTTATTTTAAGTCTTTTATTTTTCCCTTTAACAGTTTCTATTTGTTTGTTAAGTAACAAGAGTGCATTAAAAACAGTATTTTGTGATTCCACTTACCAATGACCATTTTGGGGGTTTTCTTCTGTCTGTCTGGCAACCATGCTGATTTTGGGGGTTTGCACACTTCGTCCCTCTGTGATGTACACACTTTTGTTAATTACTTTTTCTTTCTTGGGCATTTTTTCTTAACAATCGTAATAATATCTATATCTTTCTCAGTGTTGTGCATTGCTGCCACGCTCTGCTTTATTTGCTGCATAAGTCCTCAAATGCCTGTTTATGTGTTAACCAGATCCAATAAATCAGGAGATGAATGCAAGGATTTCAGGGATTTGAGACTCTGTTTTCAACACAACCCAATGCAGATAAAAAACGATTACAGTTGTTGTTTTTTTTTCACTTTAATATTTAGCCCACTTTGTATCACCATTCAGTCTAAAAACAACAAGACATGATTTTTGGTTCATACCATCCAGCTCTATTACTTATATAAAATATATTTAAAATATATTAAAACATAACTTGTGTGTTTTGCAACATTCAAACACATGTCAACAAAAGGTCTGAACACAAAGTCTCCTGGAGCTTTGATGGAATGAAGAATGAATGTTTAGATGGTAAAAATTTATTAAGAACACGCTGAGAAGACACCCCTGTAGTCCTTTGTGTCCATCTGGATGCTTTTCATTGGGTTTACAGGGTTTACAATTGTCAGCCAAATTCTGTCTGCTCTGAAAATGCTCACAATAAACTATTATGATCCTAGCGGGATGCGCATACAACATCGACTTCAACACAGCTTTGAGTGTTCAACCACCAATATGAGGAATAATTGTTTCAATTCAATCTAAGCTTGTGATTTTAACTGTATTTAATTTGCTTTTGGGTATTACAAAGGTCTACAACCTGATTCAAGCACAACCGGATATAACAAACTTTAGGGTTTTTGTCAGTGGTGTAACCAAACAACTGCGGAGCATGCCACGGAGGCAGCCATCAGCGTCGGCGCCATCTTCGTCAGGACAGGACTTATAGTCTCTGTATATTTCAAAAGATGACGTTCAAGCAACTACTGAGAAGTCTGACACAGCAGATTTACACAACACGTTTTCAACTAAAAACAAACTTTTTCATGGTTTTTGGCATTCATTTATATGACAATGGCATTT